CAGCCGCCGCTACCGTGCCGGGCTTGGCGTTCCCATGCCAACATGCCGGCGTGCCATCGCGCAAGGGGCCAGTGAGTGTGTGAGGTGGAGGTGGGGGTGGTAGGGCTGCCGCTGACCGCTGCTTGCTGACGCTGACGCTGCTCTTACCTGCGGGGGGAGGGGGTGGGTCGGAAGCCAAGGCCGGGCAAAAGATGCCTGGGCCCTACTCAAGGGAACCGGGGGAGTCACTGTGCCAGGGCAGCAGCATGCTCCTCATGGCATCGGTCGGCAAACCGGGCCAGCCGGCCCTGCCTGGCCTAGCCGAGGAAGGCGGCCAGGGAGGGCCAGGCGTGGCCGGGACTGTGGAAGAGCTCAGCATACTCCTCCCTCAGCCCAGCGTATAGGGGGCAGTCACACACTGCGTGGCGTACGTCCTCTAGAGGGGCCTGGCAATGGGGGCATGGGCGCTGGGTGCGGTCCAGCCGCTGCCACCGGCCTGTCTCCTCAGCCATCCAGTGCGACCCCGTGCGCCACTGCGCCAGGCGCACCCGGTGCCGGCGCTCGGGCACATCGCACAGGAACGACGCAGGCGTGTAGGCCTCCGCAGAGATGCTGCCCCCCCACACGTCCTCAATGTACCGCTGCACCTTCACGGATGCATGCGTGTACGAGGCAACATGGCGCTCCAGGAGCGCTTCCGCCAATTCAGGTATGGCAACCCCCTCGTCAGCAGTCAAGTCGCAGGGGGCGCCGGCTGCCGCGAGAACGCGGCTAACCTGCGCTGCCCAGGGCTGCCGGGCCAGTGGCAGCCCTGTGTCCGTGTCGGCAGCCAGCGCAACGCTATCCAGCATGGCAAGACGGGCGACCCGCTCGCCGCCCATAGCCTGCAGGTTGCTCACAAAGCGTGCAACCTGCAAGGTCCAGTAGGCGGGCAGCGGCAGCTGCCCGGTCTCTGCCAGCACAGTGAGGGCTGGGGTGCTGTCCCGCACACCCAGCAGCCCTCGCAGGTACTCCAGCTGTACCCGCTCGCATGCCGTCCTGCCCTGCAGAATCAGCTGCGGCGCCCAGATCTCTGCCCCGTACGACAGCGTCGGCAGGACGTTTTTAGTGCTTGCAGCCCTGCAAGCTGAGATGGAGGCCGAGCTCGGACCCGCAGAGAACACCGCAGAGGGGCCGGCCCGAGGACACGGAGGAAAAGGGATGTTGTGCAACGCTTCCGCACAAGATGTGGAAGAGGCCATGCGCACCCTGAGGGAGCAACTGCTAACACCACCAACGGCAACGCAACCAACCCCAGCGGGCGAACCCAACGCCGAGAGCGCAGGGCACTCGCAAACTGCCCCGGCCACCTCCATGCCCACCACACCCATGAGCTCA